TTAGTAGTGATGTCTGGGCAAAAGATGGACGATGGGGAAAAGTCATGGAGCAGTCAAACTAGGAACAAGGTATCTTGAAGGTTCTATCAGAGCAGGGTTGCTGTGATCTGTTGGTTGTGTGTGTGTTAGTTGCTGAGTTGTGTCTGACTCTTTGCAATCCCGGGAACTGTAGCCCGCCAGGCTCCTCTGTCCATGGAATATTCCAGGCAAAAATACTGGAGTGGGTGGGTAGCCATTCCCTTCTGAGGATCTTCACGACCCAGGGATCGAACCCAGGTCTTCCACATTGCAGGCAGATTCTTTGCCGTCTGAGCTGCAATGTCCTCACGCATTCAGCATTAAGCTTTTGGTGGCTCCTCTTAGATCCCCTGTTGTTGATGCCCTGGGGGAGGGGACGACAGAAAGAGTGAGAATCTCTGGGAGAAACCCAGGGCAGGCTTGACGGCCGTAGGTTGTTTCACTCCTTGCCTTTCAGAATTGGTTTTTAAGTTTTCCTGACAAATTTCTCCAGCCCTCACAGGGAAAGCCCTTTCGCTTTGTGGTAGGGGGCACTGATGGCGAAGGAAATGGCAACACACTCCAGCATTCTTGCCTGGAGAATCCCATGGACAGCGGAGCCTGACAGGGTCGCAAGAGTCGGACATGACTTAGCAACTAAAGTATGACTACTCGGGGACACTGACACGTTATTTGGGGTCCTCATCTTGAATTGGCTCAGTTTTTCCTGGTGCCATTAGCGTCTCTAACTCATTACTGCTCCCTCTGGCTGAGGCCAGGATCCTGGAACAGGTCTCAGTGGCAAGAAGCTGAAGAAGCAGATACTGGAAAATCCAGCCTTACGTGATCTTTCCTGGCTGTGATAGGTTTAGCTTTCCTATTGAAAAGTTGTTTAAAAACTCTTAAATTTTTTTTTCGAGTGGAGCATTACATTTATCTCAGAAGAAAACTTGAAACTTGAAATATCACTTTTTTTTTTTTGGTCAAGAAAAGGAATATTAAACCCTTATTAGTGTTTATATCTACAGTGATTTATTTTTAAAAGGTTACTGGCTATCCCTGTTGAAAGGCACCATATTTTTACTATCTAAGTAGGTCAGAATGCTAAATTTGGCTAGAAAATTCCCAGCAGTTGGATATCATTGTGCCTTAATGTATGAAAACGAAATGCCTATTAAAGTTGACAGAAGATGTAGTTTAATCAGAATGTCTAGTTGAATCACCAAACGTGGAAAGAGTAACACTCTACTTTGTATATTTGCAGTGATCTCATTATTGTAATACTAACAGTGTTAATAGTTTCTAAAATAGAAAAGAAGCTATCTTCAGAAATTTTAATAAATTAAAATTATGAATGATAAAAAGCAGATCCCAAGTTGAATTTATATTTGTTCAATGGTCATTCACTAAGTTGTGTGTGACTCTTTGTGACCCCATGGACTGCAGCACTCCAAGTTCTTCTGTCCTTCTCTATTTCCCAGAGTCTACTCAAATTCATGTCCACTGAGCCAGTGATGCTGTCTAACCATCTCATCCTCTGCTGCCCCCTTCTCCTTTTGCCTTCTATCTTTCTCAGCATCAGGGTCTTTTCCAGTGAGCTGGCTCTTTACATAACGTGGCCAAGCAGTTACAGCCTCGGCTTCAGCATCAGTCCTTCCAATGAATATTCAGAGTTGATTTCCTTTAGGATTGACTGATTTGATCTCCTTGCTGTCCAAGGGACTCTCAAGAGCCTTCTCCAGCACTGCAGTTTGAAAGCATCAATTCTTTGGCACTCAGCCTTCTTTATGGACCTTACAAAATCTTGGAATTCTGTTTATAGATTCAGGCTTTTATGATGGATGTTAATTTTTTGAAAATATCAATGTTTTGTCTATACTTGGGCATTTTTCAGAATTTGATGTAATTTTATTTTATACATTTTAGTACTTTTCAGGTACTAGATGAATTAAAGAGGTAGAAATGAAATTTAGGTGCTATCATAATTAAATAAATTAAAAGACTCAACTCAGCGCCTAACACAGAGCAACCCCTGTGACAATCAGTGGTTTAGGGATTTTGATTATTATTTATGACTCCTCTCTTGTTGCTGTAGCTTCACTTTCTCACTGGTTTGGGTGCTTTGACAATTTCCATAGATTCACAGCATTGTTAACATTTCATTTTGTGTCTACCCTTTAAGTCTTGGTGTTTTAAAAATTTCTAGAATTATTTTCAGAACTGTCAGCATAACTCCTGATTCAAGAACTTGCATTTTTACCTAACACACTTGCATTGGTATTGAAGAACTTCACCTTCTCTGATGCTAATAGCTGATTTCCCATTTTGTCTGGGATCCAGCTTGAAGGTCAAGAGATGGGCTGGTTATGATCTTGGCATTCAGCTAGTCATACAGAGCCTGGCACGGGTCTGGCTGATTCCCTATGTTTTCACTGTTCCTCTTTGCTGGTGGAGTTTGGGGTCTTAGGGTTCCCTTGTATCTGAAGGTACTCCTAAGATAACATAAAAATATTTTTTTGAGATTATGACTGTAACGTCACATGCATTTGTTATTTTCAACATCAGTCCAAAAGATCTTTCCTTTTGTTTTTATTTATTTTAGACTTATTGAGAATATTTTCAATAACATAAATATACTTTTCACATAAAGTAAAAAAGAAAAACAAAAGTGTTTCCCCACAATCCCTTCACTGTCAGTTTGCAGGAAAAACAAGTTTTGATAGTTTGGAATGAATTCTTCAAGAGTATTTATACATGTTGGCTCAATGTGTATAGCTATGTTAACTGGTGTCACCACTATTGAGGTGGTGGTTCTTCAGAAAAATGAGATGATGTTCTTCTGCAATTCGCTTGTTTTATCAGTTGACTTGTCACAGGCACTGGTGCGTGTCCTCAGTCTTTTTCATGACTGTATAATACTCTGCTGTATTGATGTATCTCAGTTTATTTAGCTTTTCTCCTGTTGGCAGATTTTATCTGCTTACACATCCTGTTGCATAAATGCCACAGGTTGGAAACTTCTATCTTGAGTACATGTGTGCACTCAGCATCCCTACTACCCTTTGCAGGCTAGAGGAAGGGTAGGCCACTGGCCTTGGCTGCTTATTAGCCTTTTGAGACAATCCTCAAGTTTGTCGTTTAATGTTGGATAAGCCTCAGTTCACATAAAAAAATACCAGCTCTGTTGTATGAGGTTTGAACATAATTCCAGCATTTTTATAGATGCTTCTCATTTCTACCTTCTAGCTAGGTTGCACCATCTAGCTGAGATGGATTTTGACGGTATCATTCTTAGACGCTCTTATGTTGGCAGAATTCTGGGTTTCAGAGGTTTAAGAAAGGTCTGATTGTCAAATCTGTTTATTGAATAGGCAGTCTTTAAAGTCAGGACATCTTTTTAGGAAATACTTTGAGAATGCATTTTTTTTTCTTGATTGTGAAATATTTTTGGCTTTATATTTCTAACCGGGTGCTTTAAAATTTAATTTGTGCCTTTCACACTGGCATAATTAATCATAGTCATAAAATTCAAAAACCAACATATTCCAAGGTTAATATTTCATTAGTAGGCGATGGTGTTCTTTAAAGTGTTCATAAAATTTTACATTCTTCAGTCACTATTTACATAGTAGATATAGTAACTTATTTTTGTCGCGGCTACTGGCCATATCTTGGAGTTTTACATCTGCAGGCTGAAACTGCTTCATGCTCTTGAAATTCTAAACTTTAATTGCCTAGAATGAAGGAAATATTTTTAATTTATACACAGGCATACCTTGGAGATATTGAGGATTCGGTTCCAGACAGCTGAAATAAAGTGAATATTGCAATAAAGCGAGTGACATGAATTTTTTGGCTTCCTAATGCATATAAAAATTATGTTTACACTACACTGTAGTCTATAAAGTGTGTAATAGCATTATGTCTAAAAAATGTATGTTGTCTTAATTAAAAAAATACTTTATTGCTAAAAAAATAATGTTAACCATCATCTGACAATGCCGACTTCAGTTTGTAAAAACTGCAATTACATGCAAAGCGCAGTAAAGTGAAGGGCACTCAAATGAGCTCTGCCTGTAAGCTTTTTTGTTTGGAAGATTTTTATTTCATATTCCTAAAATAGTAATGTAGAATTTAAAGAAGGTGATATCAATGATTGGAAATGTAGAGGAGAAATTACAACTTCTCCTTTGTAATATGGTAATTGTGTAACATATTTTAAGCAGTAACTTGCTGTTGATTTTAATATTTTTTAACCTTCTGCCACCCTGGCCTCCTGCTATGATATCATAGCTCTCCTTTTTGATTTATTGTTGTACAGAGTATGTCATGCACAGTGGGAGCAACCATACCAATCCAGTGTTGAGAATATGTCCTTATGGTCTGTGACATTTTCTACTTTAAAATGGACTTGTGGTCGTTAACCAAATTTCAGTACACTTGAATGAGGAGAGTTGTAATTGCCTTTTACTTTCCTGGTGATTTCTTCTTGCTCGGTTTTCTTTAATGTCTAGTGGCTTGAGCTTTTCCTTTGTGACAGTTTTTACATGCTATTTTTATGTTTTCCTTTTCAGCACCCACACAAAAATGTCCTAAGACTACTTATATATGTGCACATATATTCCCAAATGGACAAAAAGACACTTTCATTCTTAAAGTCACATCATGAAAAGAAATGATACTGAGATAGGAAAATGTGAAATACAATAATTCAATTTATAACACAAAAATATAATGGAGTAAATTTTTAATGACATACATAGAATTACAAATCTCATTTTTCTTTTCCCCTAGGATTAGAAACTACTGAAAACTTTTTTAGCAGTGCAAAAATCAAACAACTGTCTGGTTGAAAGGGAGTTACAAGTTATTTGGCATAAAATTGAAATGCTAATTTTAAATTGCTTATTGGATATAAATAATTTATTTTTATTACTTAAAACTACCATTGTATACTTGAAATATGTGTTCTCTTCAGTTTCAGACTTCCTTTTCTCTTTCAGTCTGTGATCAAAACAGGGCGACTGCTAGTAAGTCACGAGGCTCCTTTGACGGGCGGCTTTGCCTCCGAGATCAGCTCAACGGTTCAGGTAGAGTAACTTTTTGGCACTGATGTAAGCATTTGTACAATTGCATATGTCTATTCCAAGAACAAAATTACTTATCACAATATGTAAAAGAATGCACTGTTTAGAAATGTACATTTTTGTGTTTGACTCCAGTTCACTGTCCTTCAGATAATGGTCTGATTACATCTTCTTAAAAAGAAATCTTAAAAGCTGAAAAATTCCTTAATAGGAAGAAGGAAGTTTGAAATAATCTTAAGAAACTCATGTAAGCTATGTTTGCTGGGATAACAGGAAAAGCAAACTCTTAAATTTCAATGTGATGTTTCTCTTTTGATAGAACTTTTCATGATAAAGCTAATCAGGAAATGGTTTATAAGATTGGTTTTAATAGCCTTCACCCTACAAAAAAAAAAGAATCTGTCAAAAGTCAGCAATTTAAATTCAGCAAATAATTTTACAGTCAATAATTAATTTATTAATTTGATTAACAGCATTACATTATGCTATTGAACACTTTTGAAATGGTTTAAAAGCACCTCTTTTTAAAAAGTATTGTTTAGATGCTGATTATCAGGAAAAAATTCTACAGACCTCTTTAGAGGATTTTTATTTGAAACTTTCATTCACATTTATATTACAGATATGAATAAGATTATCTAAATGTTTCATCTTTTATAATTTTTTAAAATAAAAAATTAAATAACTATATTTTAAGTGGAAATTTGCATGAATTTTAAAGTTAGAGTATCTTTGTAGCTGGTAAACATTTTACCTTACTGGTGGTCAGATGATTCTATTGTTGAGATACGTATACATGGAAAATTCTTTTAAGAGTATAAGTTTTAAAACCTTGATATGAAATTATGAGATATGAACCTTGATCATTTCTACCAATAAAATATCTTTAAATATGAATTGACAATGTTATAAATATTTTAAAATTAGATGAATCAAATTTAAGCATAAATATTTTAAAAACTAGATCCAAATAATTCATAATTATGATAAAAATTATGCTGTTATTTTTACATATTGTATATATTATCATTAACAAACTTAAGCAAATATTTGAGTTTTGTAGATTTTTTTCTTTTTTATAGAGATGACAGTTTGAAGCATATTGCTTATCATTATGTAATACAAATACCTGGTATGTACTGTACGTTTTATTCATGAGTAATGTAATGCACTATCTTTGGAAAGAAAAAAAAAGGGGCTTGCAAAAATGAATCACTAACACCAAGATTCCATTTCAAGTCAAAGGCAAACTGGAAAAAGAAACTAGGATTTTCTGATTCCTACTTAATACGTGGTCCACTAAACCCATTTGAATGAGAGGAATTGGCTGTTGCTAATGGAACCTCTATCTGACAGCCTTGTTTCATTTTGCCCACTGAATATCATCTTACTGTTATCTCAAAAATTTCACTACCATTTAAAGGTAAAAGGAAAATAAGTAGAACATAAAATTTAGAAATTACAACTAAAATCTGGTTTCTCTAAGTATTCTCTTAAAATGTGAATTCCATTAATTGTTATAAGCTGAAATAGAATGTAGCATATGTTTCAGTGTGGAAAAGAATTAGAAAGATTATCTAGTCTAGTGTCTACTGGTCTTGAAAAATATGTGGACTTATATAGGAGGAAAATTGTCTCTTGGGCTCCAAGAGTAAACCAGTGAATTCTAGTTTGAGGAGTATCATATTATGAGCTAAATATAGTCAGTGTAAGAAGTTAACACCAAGGTCATAAACACTGTATCAAAATCAGATCCTGAAGTTATATGATAATAATCAGTGATCAAATTTGTGAGAGAGATGATCCAGAATATGGTCATATTTTTTTATCATAATATGAAGACACCAAAACAAAGACCATACCTTGTAATACTCAGACTCCCAAAATGCCCACTGTTCCTGAGTGTCTGAGGTCTGAGAAATTTTGAAGCCACACCAACTGTATTCCTTTAACAGATGAGTGGTTGAACCAATTTTAAAATTAAGTGGAACATTTGGGTCTAGGATAGGAATCTTGAGTAAATGTTGAGTGCTCACTCTTTATTCAAAGTACCCACCACCCACAGAGGAAGATAGAAGTTTTGGATTCATTATAAAATGTTCTCTGTTTCCCATGTGAGAACCTTTCCACCAACTAACCACAAAATGATTTAAGGCAACAATGTAAAATCTGTAGAGGGATCTTCGTTTGATGTTTTGGGGAATTAGAATTTGAATTTACTAATACGAAAAAGATTTAGAAAATGTTCACAGTTGTTTTTGACTAATTCAGATATTACTTGTACAAATGCAAAGGGTAGAAAGTGAATTTTAGCAAAATATAATCGGCATAGTATCTCTGAATAGTCTGCCTGTTGTGGCTTTTGTGTATTGACTAGGAAGAAAAGAAATGCTAAACATGTTGAGAGGGTTTTAAAAAAAACTTTTGGTGATAATGTCTGCATATAGTGTAGAGTAATCTGAACAATATAATCTACTTTTCAGTAATTGTTTCATGCACATATTCAAATAAATGCAGCTTATCATATTGAGCATCTTTACGGAAGATCCGTCACATTCCCTGTTGTAAGTGAAGCCTGTATCACATTAGCCAGCGACTGGGTTTGTTTAAACTGAAATCACTTAAGTGTGAGGTGCAGCTGCTTTCACCACTTGGAACAGTTCATGCTTCTCTATTTCTTTTTGTTGTGTATACTTTGTAAGGTTAAAAACGATAAAGCAGGGTTAAGATTTTGAAAGCAATTTTCTGAGACACAGGGAAAAGGTACATAGAGAACTTTTCATTGTTGTCCCAGAAAAGAAGTTCGAAATTAGGGATGAGAGTGATCTGTACATGTGAGCACTAAGGATTAAAATGCTGAGTTATTCTCGTTGTATCAAAAAATTTAAAGTTTATGTAAAAGTGAACAAACACAAACAAAATGTACTCCCCAAGCATTGTTTTGTGGAAGACATTTGGTAGTTCTTTAAGAACTTATGCTTAATCTTACAAAATTGCTCTTAAAAATGTAATATTTTGAGAGAATGAGTATTAACAACACAACTATTGTTTTAAATTCAAAACTGAGATCACCATCTTCTATTTTGCTCAAATTTTAAATTATTTCCCATATTAAAAGTTAAAAATCTTGAAGAGAATACAGCATTTTAGACAATATTTCTTTAAGTTTATAATTGATATTTTTTGATGGAAAAATTATATCACGCTGTATAATATTGAATGTCAAGTAAAGGAACTTTTTTGCAAGCATGGGAAGTATTTCTGGCTTTCCTTCTGATGATTTTTAGTTAGACTGATAAAATATAAAAAGAATGAATATAAAATATGTCCATATTTTATTTACATAACTTTTCAATTTATAGCAGATGGTTCTTCTATCGTACAAGGAGTTCAGTGTACACAGATTTTCTTATGCCCATTGCCTTTTTTTCCTAAAGCCATTTATTTTATTATTTCAATAAATATTCATCATTACCAGTCTCAGTTGGGAGTAATGTTAAAGTCACAAAAGTGTTTAGGAGACTACTTTGTATTAATTAAACCTAACATTTGAACCTTATATCTCTCAGTAGTTTCTTCATAAAATTAATGTAAACGCTTAGAAAAATCAAAACCAATCCATCAAAGCTGAGCACTCCTTTGCATTCCTACTGGATTAATTTGGAAGTTAACTGAGGGGCAGAACAAGCTGAGTGAGGTCTGGTCCATCTGGTTCCCTCAGGGGACAATTTCTGGGTCGGTCATCCAAAACTGCACTGTCTCTTCCCATCTAACTTTACGTTCCCATCTGTTCTCACTTTGGGGTGAGGGAACTTTCCCCTTCTTTCCTTTGACACATACCATAACTTGGAGGAGAGCTTCTTTTAGGGAGTTACACGTTCCATTCTGTACCCTGATTTGTGGAAAAGCGCAGAGATAACAGAGTTTAGCTAATTCATTGACCTCATTGTGGAGTCTGAGCGAAGATTGTGTTGTTTTGGAAAATTATGACTTAATTTGATGTGACATTTCTATTCCTCAGCTTTATGTAATCACAGGTGAGAAAAAAAACACACAAATTTTACTGTGCAGAAAATGTTAACTTCAAATTCATTTAAATATTTCCCCCAATTTATATGTATCATATATCCTAGAATACAATATTCAGAATAGGCATTATTTATCAATATTTAAAGACTAAATAATTTCTGGTATTTTAGTAGTTTTAAATAGTGTACTTTCTTTAAACCTTGTAGAAACCAACTTTATTATTAATTTCTAATACATTCCCATAATGATCAACTAAATCTTGACTCAGATAAGCTTGGGATAATAATACATTTTTTTTTTCATCTCTGGATTTAGTACTTAATAAGAGTGCCAAAAATTTTAGGGATTGGGGCTGGCTTAAAGATTGAATTTTTATTTTTTTTTTAACACATGGAAGCAATAAGTCTGCAATAAAGAGTCCAGTTGGAGAGGATGGTGAATTTCCATACCATTGTTCCATCCTTTCTGTTCAGTCTCTGTTCCTAGGATGAGAACCCAGAAATTGTGCATACAGACATATATTTTTAAGGTAATCATATTCTAAAAGTTTGAGAGGGCTTTCATAGGGTTTACATAGCCCACGTAAAAGGAATCTTTCATAATTTTCAAGTAAAGAATTTTGTCTTTCTCACTGTTTCATGTTAGAAAGGATTATGCAGAAAGATATTTTTTTCTTATAAACTTATTATTACCATCAAATTTACCAACCCTCTGGCTTAAAAACATCAATCTGAAGAAGAGGGAAAACATCCTAAATGGTGTTGAGTTTTTTACCATTGTGAAAAATATGTTGAAATAAAATTACTGTGTTGATAAAGAGTCATCAGAGACAACTATCAGGGCAGTAATCGGATGAACAGTTAACTACAATTTCATAATCTTATTACTGTTCTTTTTCTATGAGTGATTCAAAGCATTGGCCAACAACAAAAATAGCAATCAGGAAAAGTGTACTTATGTACTAACGTCTATCT